GAAGCTACTGCTTGTGGTGAAGGTAGGAAGAAGGATTCTTGCTTGCGTTGAAGACAGGAAGAAGGTTTTTTTGCTTGTATTGAAGATAGGAAGAAGGAAGAAAGAGCTGTTGCTTGCGGTGTTTCTTTTTCTTTGCACCTGTCCTCTTTTGTGGCTCTCAGATAGAGAGAGTGGAAGTAAGAAATTTCTTTCTTGTAATTGTCGACATAGACGACGGTGTAAATTCCTCAATTAGTAAAATCCTCTGTAACTCCGTGGATGTAGGCAATTTGTCTAACCACATAAATCTGTGTGTTCTTTTCTGGTGTGAATTTTCTCGTTCTATTTTTCGTTTTGTCGTCGATCGTTCTATTTCTATATACCATAACAGAATATTTACTTTTTCATAGAAAAATGTGTTATGTGCCAAAATCATGAGGGAACGACTGAAAACACTCGTGTTTCAGGAATTTTGCAAGCCTTGGATGTTTGAGTGCAAAGGTATAATCATTGAAGGGGATAATGCAAACATCATGCAATTTCTAAGCTCCACCATGAAGGATGTGGTTTGGCGGCAAAGGCCTCATGTAGCTAATGATTTTGTTTTTCTGAATCCTATTACACTTTAAACAAGTTTTGTCTTTCCATACGCCTCGTGAATGTAATTGAGCCTCTCATTTTTGTGCTAAGCGTGCTCTTAGTGGTTCTTTTATTTTGATGCATATAGATGATGATACAGAACTCCTTACCATACTTATAGAGGATAGATCTCACTTTTGTACATCATAGATGCATATATGCATAATTTTTGTATCTTTTTGATATAGTAATGCAAAATAAAATTTTCAAGAAAACACTCGCCTTTATCTACCATTATCCATTTTTGAAACAATTTAGGAAGGCAAGTCAAGATTTCGTTCTAGGCTTTTCAAAGAGAAAGGGGATTCTTTTCCGCTATGATTGTGTTGGATTATTTCTAAAAAAATATCTCACTTTGTGGCTTGCAAGAAGATGCTCAGTGCTCTTGATTTAGCTTGAATTTTTTTTAGGGAGATTATTAGACTACATGGAATTCCTCAGAGCCTTACCTCAATCCGAGATGTTAATATGAGTTATTTTTGGTGAGAGTTATCAAAGAGATTACACATCGAACTTTGTATGAGTTTAACTTATCATCCTCAAATGGATGTCCAGACTGAAGTGGTAAACTGATTAGTTGATAATATGCCTTGATGTTTAGCCGAAGAACAACCAAAGCAATGAGATGAAATATTATGTCAAACTGAATATACATACAATTGAATGGTGTATCAATCTAATTGAAGGTCTCTCTTTAGCCTTGTTTTTACCAAGCCTCCAAATCATACCGTGGACCTTGCTGTTTTACCGAAAACCCACAGCAAAGCAAGATAGAACTTGGTTTTTGACTTGATGTCAATCTCCAAGATGTAAAAATAAAGCTATTTAGCAGTTGCCAGTCCTGCAAACAATAAGTAGATAAGAAGAAAAGAATCAAAGAATTTAAGAAGGGCGACCTAATCATGGTTCACTTACAAAAGAAGCGTTTCCTTGTGGGTTCCTATTTCAAACTGAAGCCATGTAAGTTTGTTCCCTTTCTGTTGCTCAAAAAAATCAATGTTAATGCTTACATCTTTTTTTTTCAACTGGACCAAACAATTCTCCCACCTTCAATTTCTCTGATATTTATGAATACCACCCTCCAGATGACGTTACCATGCTTGAGCTCATTCTTTTAAAGTGGAGAAGAATATGGTGTAGGACAGATGCAGAGACACAAGTGCAGCGGTAGATGCATGGGTGACCCGATAGCAGCATTTCCTTGATTATCAATATTGCTAAAATTTATTATTTTATCTTTGTGTTTCATTAAGTAGTTAGTGTACTTGCTGTGGTTAGTTTAAATAGAAGTGGCTGTAAGGTGTGACAGCTTAAAGATATTCATTTTTACAAAGAAATTGTAATAGAATTAATCTGTATTTTTTCCTTTCTTCCTCTTGTTCGTCTTGGGCTATGCCATATGCATTTTTTAGGGATGCAAATTAGAGTCAGGAGATGGAGCCAACAAAAGTTTGGTCGTGGAACATATTGTGTTTGTCATTGATAATGGTTCAATTACAGATTGCATGCTTGAGCCCCATCTATTTATAGCTAAACTTGTTGTATGATAATTAGGTGGAATTCTTAGCGTTTTTAAAGAGTCCATCATAATACTCTGAAGACTATGATATTATGCAATATGGGGATCTATATTAGGGTTTATATTAGTTTCTCTACTCTTAAGCTGACTTCACATGTCCATGAAGCTTAAGAGCAAAGCACTTAATTTCCTTGATCTGCAGAAAATTCCTTCATTATCCTTAAGCTTTTGATCATTGGTTTCTGCGAAGTTAGATCTTGCAAGTTGATTTCACTAGTTGACTTGATCAAGATGAGGAAGAAGAAATGCAATGAACTTGTCACTAGCTACTATGACCTTTTTGGTTTAGGTGAAAAAAGTTGCTCAACTATTACAAGGGTATTCCTGTTGATAAAGTGGTAAAAAGGGTTTCTCTTTTTATGATGCTCATTCGTACTTTTTTCTTGTTTTTTTTTTTTTTTTTTTTGAATCAAGCTTCTTTCATTACTTTCACCATGAATTATGCGACCTCTCCTTTGCTGATGTTTTGCCATCATCCTCACTTTTGAGTACAAATTCATTGAGATTATGGAGGTTGAACTCCTTATTCTTTCTCAGGTCTTATTGCTCTCAGATCTAGAAGCATAATTCATTACCGTCACTATTGAGGATCCCCTCTCCAAAAAGTATTTTAATGTGCATAGAGCTGAATTTTCACTAGTAAAGGCACCATAGGTGGAGATTGTTACTTGCTCACAATTTTGTTTAGGTTCATAAATATGAATTGTCACTCTTGGCGTGGGTTCCTCTAATTCTGTTATGTACTCATATAGATGAAGTACCATTAGACCACTTAGCTAGCCCACGTTGTGATCTCTTTTGATTTTGGTGCCGATCTGAATGAATTTTGATAAACCAACTTGTTTATGGGCTTTCCATGATGGAATTGATTATCAATCTGTGGTCAACTCATGTTAAAGCTATTGATAGTGTACTTTTTCAAGCTGTGTTGTAACCATCATAAATAGCCTGAGTAGCTTGATGTAACATCCTAATACCTTTTCTGTGTAAATGTTCTTTGCTTAGCTGTTGTGTTTTGAGTGCTCTCTCCTTAAGGACATGTATGTATATTGAAGTTTTAGTAAAAGAAAGATATTTCTGAATTCTTTCGTTTTCCTTTTCCTTAAGGGCATCTTGAGGAATGGTTATTGTCTCCTTCAAAATAGGTAGATCAACGGAAAATGCCATTTGAACCACTATGATCAATAAAAATTGATGTTGTTTTTGCTGGAGTTTCCTTTCCGTAGGTAACAAAGGTTTCAATGATGTCCTTAAATTTGGCGTTTTGATTTGAATAATGGAGCATTAGTTAGAGAAGTTAGAGAAAGCCTCTTACAGCTTACTAAATTTTTTCCCTTTATTGGCTTAAATTTATACATGAGTTTCATGTGTCAATCTCCAAACAATTTTCTTGGGTTCCTCTGCCAATCCTTCTAAATGTAGTTATGAATCCAATGGATTGAAACTAATGCTCTGATAACAAGTGTATAGATTAATAAGTAAATATTTACTCCATATCTTTATATCTAAAGTCAATTTAAATTTGTCTCCTTAAGCAAATATCTACTCCATATCTTTAACATTCATTTGGACGACAGAACTCATGATTCCTGAGAAGACTCATTCAGTTAGGTGGTTCAACTACCTCTTCTGATTAAGTATATAACTGACCATGATGACTTGGGATGATGAAACCATAAAATCTTAATCAGGTTTATCATCATTTTCCCCATCATTTACTTTAAGCTTAAGGTGATAAACTTTAAATCTAAATTTTAAGTCAATTGGTAATATATGTTGAATATTCAGCTTTAAATGACTATCCTTTATTGAAAGCACTCTCATGTTATTAAGAGGGAAAAGTTAATCATAGGGGCTTGCGCTATTGGGAAAGCTCGAACCCCCGATCTAAAAGTCCTCGCAAAAATGAGAGAGAAATCTCTAGGTAATTTTTTTTATCTATTATTCCATTTGCCTTCTGAAAATTTGACCTTTCAAAGCCCTTAACAAACAAATACAGAGAGTCTGGGGCGACAGAATTTTCGGAGCCCGCAATTGTGTATAAGTGTATATTACATATAAGATGGGGATAGTTATGATACAATTTCTTAGATATGTATATATATTTAAATAGACTTTAATATTGGAAGTTTCGGAGTCACAATTGTGTATAAGTGTATATCACATATAAGATGGGGATATTTATGATATGATGTCTTAGATATGTATGCATATTTAAAAAGACTTTAATATTGGAGAATTTAATAACTTATGATGATCTCGAGTCAATAGGAATTGAAATTTTTTATTTCGTGTCAAGCCAAACTTGCTTTAACTCAACTTGCCCTCACACAGTTTTTGAACTAAAAATAACAGTAGCAGGTGCAGCTTTATGGATCTTGTCTTGCCTGGGCTTACTATTTTCATCTCCCTAAGCTTACTTGTCCATCAAATATTTCTATAAGAAAACGCTCTCAGGGTAGGATAACTTAGCTTTTCTTGGCTGATTTATGCTTTCAGTGATATAGATTGCTAAATGCACTAAATTTACTACTTGGGTGATGAGGCATATCTGATATGCTGCAATTCTATTGTGAAACTATTTGGCACATAATCATTTTGCTGCAAAAATCAGCCAGTGCTCCCCAAATATTAGCAAAGCTCCTTTCTTTGCTACATTTAAGATATGTTCTGTGTTAAATTGAACAGCTAAATAAAGTTTATCTTGTGAGCTTTAGATTAAGAATAATGTTTCTTTTTAAGGTTTTCTTTCAAGCTTACAACTAACTGAATGCATTCTTCACATGTTTTAATGGCATGTAAGGTGGACATTTGCGCTAGTCATCATTTATTTTGCGGTACATTTTCTTAACTTTATCCTAGTTTTGTTTTTGATTTATTGGTTTTGGTAATCACCAAAATAATTTATTTTCCTTTCCCTTTTGTATGCTCGTAGATTGGTACTGTGGCATCTGCTCATGGTTGCTGGATCTGTTCAAAACATGCTTTTTTTAAAAATGAGGAGGCCAGTTGCCTCCTTAGAGGAGACCTTGAACAATGCCATGATTCAGATTTAGCTCTCGCACCTGAAGAGGAGAGGAATGGTTATATTCTCTCAAACTATGGCGGTGACCTGATGCATGAAGAAAGAGCAGGGCTATGGGGCCATTTTATGCAAATTACCTATCAGGTTTATGCTCTCATAAAACTATCATTTATGTTAGCCTTATTTTAGCTCTTGTTCTGCTATATGGGATCTCGTCTTAGGGTCTGTTTGGGGCAGCTGCAACTTATTGAATAATTTGCTAATAAGCTGATTAAAAATAATCTGCTAATCTACTAATAAGCTAGGTGCGATGACTATTACAAATTTTTATTTTTTTGGAAAAGCCAGACCGCTGTCAGAGCTGCCACCGCACTAGGGGCTGTGTGAAAACACTGTTTTCAGCATTTTGAAAATGCATAAGCTGCCAAAACGTCGTTTACCCCAACAGGTCAGGTGCGTTTTCAAAACGCCACCGCACCAAATAAGCTGTCTCAAACGGACCCTTAATCTCATGAACAACATAAAGAAACTCTTTTTTCTTTAATACACAATGTGGAAAAGCGGAAACTTATTCATTTTTTCTGCCCTCCTATGGTATATTCATCTCTCCTGTGTGCTGTGCTGTAATGTTCTAATTGTATGGCTATTGATGTTGAATTCAAGTAGGCTATTTTCCTCATTTATGCCAATTTTTAACAGGTAAAAAAATTTTTTTTGGCAGACGAGTGCAGGAGCCGTGATGTTAACGGATGTCATCTTTTGGTGTCTGCTCGTACCATTTATGTCTAGTGTGCACTTCAGGGTGACTTTGGTTGGTATTACAAATCTTAATCTTCTTTAGCTCGTCTTTTCTTTCATGTCGGCTTTTTGGAGAAAATATTTTTTTTTCATTGATGCATTGAATACAAAAGTTACAAAGGGGAAAATTTTTAGAGTGTTTCTGGCATTTGTTTTTGTAGCTGGAAAACCTAAGCATCATTGTTTTCATTTTCTACTTTGTCTAGATTGTTGGAGTTATTAAACATTTTTTTCATTTTTCATACTCTAGGGAGATTAGTTAATGAAAGTATCGACTAAAACCACCAAATCTCTCATGTTTACTGCTCCTTTAGCCCTTCATAAATATTGAGAGTGCCCGAAGTGAGTAGGTTGGATGGAGATCTTCTGTTTCTTTTCACTCGAGCAAATGCATAACACTGGAATAAACACTTTTGTATCAATCTTCATGACCTAAATCTAACTCGAGCTCTTTTAATTCAGGGATTTGTGCACGTGTTGCCGTTCGTAAAATTTATTTAAAGTCTTCTTAGATGCTTTATTTAACTTTTGACACTGCTCCACAGATGATGGCCTGCTTGCACTCGCTAAATGCCATCTTCCTTATTGTTGACTCTATACTCAATAGTCTGGTAAGCGTTAGTAACAGCTAATTCATTATATTCCTTTTTTTTTTCCTTTCTAGTTTGGTTTACTTTCAGTTATTTCAGCCATTTCCTTTGTTCGGAATGGCTTTCTTTGTTCTCTGGAGCTGTATCTATGTAGCTTTTCAATGGATTCTGCATGCCTGCGGCTTCAAATGGTGAGAAAATTATTAAAAAGATTACAGCTAAATGACCATGTTTTACTCTTTATCTTTATGCGTTTTAGCTTGTCTGATAATGATTTCTGCATGTGATTCCTCTTCAGGTGGCCTTACCCTTTCATGGATCTTTCTACTTCCTGGGCACCACTGTGGTAAGCTTCAGTATCAGATCTCTCTCATACACACCCAGGCCTTCAAAAAGTGCTGATAGATTACTACTAACTGCAGGTATTTCACCATGGTATTGATGCATATCCCCTGCTTCGGTATATATTACCTTCTTGCTAGAGCGAAGAACTCGTGTTTCTCTCGACTTTTTCCCATTGCATACAGAAGACTATTTTAAATGCCTTTCTTGTGAAGTGAATGTTTGCCTTCATTATGAAAAATTATTGCATCAGGACACCTGATGCAAATTTGCATTAGTTGTCCAATTAAAATTGGTCATGTGTTAGGATGGGTCCCATACTTCTTAAAAAACAACCAATGTATTTCAGTGGGGTCCACATTTTGACGTGGCCAATTTTAATTAGATAACTGATGAAAATTTGCATCAGTTGTCCTGATGCAATAATTTCTCACATCATTACAACCATTTAAGTGTAAAAAATCACACGAGCCATCATGAGGCTTGAGTTTGAGGAACTGACGCCAGGCCTAACCAGCAAATCTACTTGGTTAGAGCTGCTGAGTGCCTCTCTTGGCTTTAAAGTGAAAATTGAATCAAAATATATTTCAAAATGAGCTTTAAATTTATTTGAAGATGAATGTAATATACTTTATTAATCTCATAATAAATTTAACAATATTAATTTCTTATTAGGATATTCTGATCAAACAATTTTTTTCCTCAAATTACAAATTTCCGTCGCTATCATTTGTGTTCTTCGATCTCACAGTTAATACAATGCAAAACCAAACCTCTTAACTGCTTTTCCAATTTTCTTGTGAATTGATAAAAAAATTATTTATATTAAATTAGCCAAACAAACTATATAATTTACATATTGTGCACTTTCGTTCAGTAAATATTATGTGATTTTAATATGCTAATAAAGTCAAAAATTCTTCGAATGCACGCCTTCAGTATTTTTTTTTAAACTTGGTGGATCACATATTTTAATGTATGTGCTACGAATGCGTTTAGGGTCTGTTTGGAGCAGATGCAGTTTATTGAATAATCTGTTGATAAGCTAGGTGAGGTGGTTATTATAATTTTTTTTTTTTTTTTTGAAAAAAACTAAATTGTTGCCAGAAAGTTGTCACTGTACTTAGATAGGTGCGGTGTGAAAATGTGATTTTTAGCGTTTTGAAAACGCATAAGCTTTATCCTAACTGGTTATGTGAGTTTTCAAAACGGCACTGCACCAAACAAGCTGTCTCAAACGGCCCTAAATCATGTTCACATGAGAAATGGTAATCTTCCAAAGGTTTTAAATTAACGCCGGTGTTTTCAAATTCTTATCGATCATATATAATTGTTATTCGCGTTAAGAATAATTTCGCTTCTGGGACAATTTAATGCACTAAAGATAATATTTTTATAGCCACAAATTGATTTCTATTTTATAATTAAGTGATTCAATTAATATTCAACAAACTCTGCTAACTTTCAAACGTTGGATCAAACATGAAAAACAAAGTATTTTAGCAACTTTGTCTAGGAGTAACTTTGTTAAGGGGACTAAACTATTAGTAATCTTCATACAATCAAACATTATGAAATTATTTTAGAAAAAACTGATGCTGATATAAATAAAAAGTATGAAATTATTTTGTAAAATTAGCAATTTTTTGTATGAATCAAAATGGCTAAGAGTAATAAGTCTACCAATGCAGCAGGACTTCATTCTGTACCCTATTTTAGGATGCTTTATTTTTGGCATCAAAAGGGGATTTTTGATGTCTGATCTTCACATCTTCAACAAAATTGCTTTTAAAAAGTTATGGGGTAGCCAATGTGCGTTTGAGATAGTATCCTATGTCCTTATTTTATAGTTTTAAGTAAAATATGTCAAGTTTAGGCCATCTTTTTTCACTCCTTGAGTTGTCATAATTTCTAGTTGCATGGGCACTTCATACACCTTGTGCAATATTAATTTCTCCAAACCCTAATGAATACTTTCTTGAAGAGTTTGAAACTAATATAATTCTCCACTAGTCTTAAGTGAAAGTTTCTCCTAATTATTTCTAGTAATCCAAGTATCCTATCTTATGATTTTGGTATGTTTTTCCTTTTACCAAAAAATCTATAATCTTTAGCATCTCCATAGTAATAATATGATCAATTTTAAGAGAAGAATGTTGGTTAGACACCTATAAGTGATGATTTTGTATTTCTACAAAAGAATAGCCCTGCATATTTGAAGGATTGCCAACTCTTATAAATGATAACAAATATTTTATACTAAAAACATGTCTAATAAATATGTCATCTGATAATTCAAGAACATAAGCATTTGTGCAAATTCCAATTGATAAAAAAATTATTTATATTAAATTAGCCAAATGTTTAAAAATGAAAAAATGAAAAAAATGTTTAACCAACATTCTTTCTCACTATTTCTCCTAATATGGCATACAAGCCTAGTATGTAATTTTTTACATTTTGTAGATTGATACCTTTCAAGTATAAAAGACGGCTATGCGAGATAGCATTGACAATGCACTTGCTAATTTATTCTATTCTCATGCTTATATTTAAGTACGAAAGAATAATTATTAGAGAGCTCAAGTATAAAAGATGACTATGAGATGTACTCTCTTTACATTTCTATAATTTAATTTTATTTGGGTATTTATGAACTTTAGAGCATGATGACACATGTTAAGGATAAACTTTATATAATAAATAGTATCTCCAATTCTTTAGAGTTTGAATGATGTATCTATCATATACAAAATAGTGTTGTCCAACATCATTCAATTTTTTACTATAAAATGCCACTGGATAGTTCTCATGACTTAATATTTCTCCTATCCCTACTCACGAAGTATCACAAGTTACTTCAAATATTTTATCAACCTTAAAATATTTTAGAATGTGTGAAGAGATCATGAGAGCTTTAATTTGTTCCATGGATTTATTTGTTGTGGTTGTCCAAGTAAATTTTTCTTTCTCTTAGCATATCTTTGATTGGAGTGATAATAGTGCTAAAGTGTTTTCTAAACCTTCTATAGAAAGTTGCTAGTCCTTGAAATCCTCTGACATATTTGACTAATTATGGCATTGTCTAATTTATGATTGACTTAGCCTTTGATATGTTTGATTAATCCTTTGATAGATATCATAAAACTTAAGAGAACAACTTTTGTCTAACAAAGAAACATTTCTTAAGACTAACATTATAAATTTCATACACTTAACTTCCACAAAATTAATCTCAAGTTATTTAAATGCGACTTCTCATTAAAACAATAAACAAGAATGTTTTAAAAAAAATGCCATAAAAGTGAACAGTAAATAGTTTTAAAATAGTGTTTGGTGACCTCAAGAATGTGTTAAGGCATTAAACAATCCAAAAGGCATAAATAAATACTCTTAAAAACTAACTAAGGTTTGTAATGTTATCTTTCACTCATCCTCAAGAATTAGTCTTATATGATGATAACCAATGTTCAAGTCTATCTTGGAGAATTAACATAATCCAATAATAAGGTCCAACTTGTAATCCAATATAAGAAAAAAAGAATTATAGTTTATTATTGTTGTGTGTTAGAAAATTTACAGCGGTAGAGTAATAATTTAATGTCTCAGCTTTGTACAAAAATCCATCACCCACAGAAATAGTGAGAAAGAAACATGAGAAGACATCATAAATTTTTTGTGAACAACCTGAAAAGGTAAAAAACTATGAGGCTTTGCCAGTTAAAATGATCCACTATAAGTTTGCAAAGATAATGATAAAACCTTATCCCGCAACTTGGAAAAGTTTACAAAGTTACATAAATTACAATGTTTATCCATACACAGTATATAAAAGGATTCACTAATTATGAATACAACGCTTAAGAAAGTTGCCACCGGAAGTCAGGAAAGTTATTATCAGGTATGTAATACATGTTTGAGGTATGTTGTTGTGTAGTATTTAAGATAATTTATTACTCAACAAAGTACTTCGTTACTTAATAGAGTACTTCGTCACTTAACAGAGTCATTTGCTACTCCGCAGTGTGCTTACTTACTCCTCATAGCACTTCATTACTCTGTAAAGTCCACCAATGGCGGTGAGTAGGGGGCAACTGGTGGTGGTTGATGGCGGATGGTGAGCGGATGTTAACAGTGGTCAACGACTACAGAGGTCAGAATTTATCATTAGATTTTCATTCCATAACAACTCCAAAATTAGGATCCTTCTCTTAATTCTCAAGTGAAGAGATGAGGTCTATTTATAAGTCATGGAGGAGGGACATTTTCATTCTTTGTTTAATAACCTCCTGATCAAACAACCCACATTGATGCCCCTTATTAATAGGAGAGTTTTGTATGATTAGATAACCTTATTGACCTCAGAGTTATGTGATCTTTGTTTTGTTAAACTTCTCTAGTTAAGTCGTTCGATTTGGATGAAGACATGTCAAACTTTGAGTCCATTTGACCATCCAACTAACTACTTAAAGCCTCAAAAAGTAGTTTAATGGCTTGAGTCAGGCTTTATTTAGTCCGAATTGGATCAATTTTGGTATCGTTGGGTTAGTTTTGTTGATTCCATCTGGTTGATGACGGTTTTGCTAAAATCAGAGCTCTGGGTGCTTCTAATGTGAATAGGAGCATTTCTTACTAAAAATGCTTGAAGATCTATGCAAAATGTATCAAGATTTGTGCTAAATGATGAATTTAGTTGATGAATCATCAATTATAATTTTAATCATTGTTCCATTATCTACACACTTTCTCCAAGTATCATTTTTTAGTAATAAAAAAGGAAATAATTGCATAAGGACTTAGGTTTTTTTAATAAAGCCTTCTTGGTAAGAATTCATTAACCTATCTTTTTAGTTCAATTTCATCAATAGGGTCCATCCTATAGTTCAATAAATACGGTGTTTGTGAACTAGGAATTTTGCTTGTCCCTCAAGGATGTTAACTCATCTAATAAGTCATTAATATCGCTTCTTGGAGCTACAACACACAAGGGGCTCATGCAAGTGCACATGTTGTATCAGTAATATCAGATTTTAGAGCTTGGAATATTGATCCCACTGGTAACGGGGTAATATTTGTTAGGAAAAGTTATAACCTACTGGTTTTAATCCTAGCCTGAAAGGTTGGTTTTGGAATAGTTCTACAGAGTAATCCTAATGCATCCCAGGTAATTTAAAAAAAAACAGAGTAATCCTAATGCATCCCAGGTAATTTAAAAAAAATTTTAAGTCCTACAAAAGTAATCCTAAATTATCACTAATACACTAAAAATATCCATTACTTAATGGCTCTTCCTTGTAATAAGTTAAAAGAATT